CATCGAGGGCGTGCAGCCAGTGGCCCATACAAAGGCGGTGGCGGACGCCCCTCGAGGTGATCCCCCGAACGCTGTGCAGAACGCCGGTGCCAGCCCGTGCGCGTGCTGACGGACCTGCGTGCCAAGCACGCCGAGGGCAAGACGTCGTGGGGCATCAACGGCGATGAAGGTGTCATTGTGGACATGCACCAGTACGGCGTCTGGGAGCCGCAGGCTATCAAGCTGCAGAGTATCAAGACGGCCATCGAGGTGAGTTATAACCCCGACGCAGATGAACTCGCTCTTCACTTTTCTTGTGGCTCACCTACTAACGATCCATACAGTCTGCCTGCCTGCTTCTCCGCGTCGACGACATTTGCAGCGCGAGGAAGGGCGCACAACCGGGCCAGGGCGGAGGCGGTGAGGAATAAAGGGGGCTTGAATGAGCCGCAGAAGAGGCTGGAGAAGATGAAGCCCTCGGGGAGGAGGGGAAGACATGAATGACACGGAACGAAACGGAGTGCATGCCGCGACACCATACCCCTGTACCTTACGAGCCATAGAGGGTCGGATTAGGAGTACCTAGACTAAAAAAGTTCTCGGGAATCAAGAGTCGACTTGCCGCCATTACCGGCGTCGCCTTCGCCGACGACCTTCGCCGGGATATGGGCCGCGAGGCCGTGCGCTGTGTAAAGAAGCTGGAATTTTGGTACAGAACATGATGGCGACAGGCGTGTAGGTTAGTCGTCGTCGTGGATGACTAGGCCTGCCGGCTGCGTCGAGGCTGCTGCCGCCGCCGAGGAAACGTCACCATTCTGCGCAGTTTCGGCCGATGTCGTCTCGCCGTCCTTGGTCCCTTGGTCCTCCGCATCTTTGATCTCTCTCCTCGCCACACCACCGCCGCTGTTTGCAGCAGCAGCAGCAGCAGGCTGGGCACCCTTCTTGTCGCCGCCCTTCTTCCGCTTCTTGTCCCTCTTTTCGCGATTTTTCCTCGTGCGCTCGGCGTCCCGCGCATCCCGCTCGAGCTTCTCGCGCTCAAACGCCTCCGTTTCCTTCTCAATCTTCACCTCGTCGTCCATGGCACGCAGGCGCTCGTACTCGCGCCTACGCGCGGCCTTGTAGACGTGGAACTCGCCCGAGCCGGCACCGGCGCTGGAGCCCTGGACGTTGGTGACAATCTCGGGGGTGGCGCCGGCGGCGGAGGTGCGGCGCAGGAGGACGTCGGCGGGCAGGCGGATCTCCTGGTCTGGCTTGGCGAAGAGGGCGTCGAGGGAGGAGGCCTGGGCGGTGGAAGGGGTCAGGGCGCGGCGCTTGGTCGGGCGCTTCGAGCGCGGGTCGGCGGAGGTGGGGATCGATTCGGGACCCTCGCCGGACATGATGGGCGTTGGCCGTGGAAGGTGGCGATGAGCTTATTCTGGCGAGGTTCTTCGTAATGACAAGGCGCGAGGGGTCAGTTCTTTCTCGGTAGGGCCCTGGAATATCGACTAAAAAGCGGCTTGAGGAAGTGGGAAATGGGTTGCAGTTGGGTATCAGGGTGTAGCAGGACGCGCATGTGGACGGGATGAGGCTGAGAAAAATGATGGGTACCAGTCTTTCCTTGGTGTTTCGCGATGACCTGCCCGCTGCCAACTCTGGTCCCACTTAATATTTGATCTTCCGCTATCGATAGTGGGATGTGGTCTTCATGGTGACAGACGCGACTTTCAACGTCTCAGCAGCCTTTGTTCTCACAGATGCGAACCAACCTGAACAGCCGTGAGGACAGAAATCTATGTGTCTACCTACGTTACGTACCTACCTAAGATAGATGACGGTCGACTAATTTTCGCCCTCCTCGTCTTTGTCTCTGTCTTTCGACGAGGGGCGAAGGCTCCAACAAGAGGAAGTCCCAACCGACAAGTCAAAACGCGAGAAACCCCTGGCCCGCTGCCCGTTCCTGTGCTCGGAGCCAACGCGTCGAATCAGGGCCAAGGAATTACGGCAGATGAAGCAAGAACCCCGCCACTGCGCCTGCCGCCCGACCCCTCGCGACAGATCGTCGACAGGGAAGCAACCGCTGTGACTGTGATTGCCCTGGCCATGGGGGCTCTTTCTAAATATGTCAAGTATTTCTTTTCGTTGGCCCCCCTCAGCACCTACCTAGGCAGGTAGGCAGGCAGGCAGGCAGCATGAGAGAGAGGTGAGGGGGATGGACCCCGGAGCCAGGCCCGGAACCGGATCGAGCATCAGCTGCTGCCCTTTGCACTCTGCATCTCTGACTCTTAATATATTACCAACAA